GATCAACTTCTAGACAGAGAGGGAAAAAAACTTCTAACATGGCAGCAACTCAAGATAGCAAAAGGCAAAGCCAGAGTAGGGCAAAAAGCGAAGTAGTTTTCAGTTATAGAAGACATTCTACTAGAGAACCCTGAGAGCAGAAAGATCAAAGAAATATATCAAATGCCAGAGCTAAACAATCTTGCGCCAGTAATACCAATAGTGCCAATCTCATCAGATAATAGGAAAAGAGAATAGATCTTATTAAACAAAGAAAACAAGGATTTGGAGATAAGAAAGGCTATTAAAAAAGGCAAAAGCAAAATTCTCACAGAATGCTGGTCAACAAAAGAAAATATTAACGATCTATTATGTGATATTTATGATGGTGATATTTGGAGAACTTTCAAAGATGAACCATTCAATGAAGATTCAGCACTATTTTTTTGTAGCGAAAAAGCAGACTCTCATTTGGGCCTTGTGTTGAATCTTGACTGGTTTCAACTATTTAATGGTACATCACATAGCACTGGTGTGATGTATGTATCTATTGCAAATTTGCCACATGATATTTGATTTAAGCATGAAAATATGTTAATTTTAGGCATATTACCTGGGCCAGATGAAGTGAGTTTGCATAAAATCTCTCCCCGGTTGTTGACGAATTAAGTCTCTTTGGCGTAGTATAGAATTAGATTCAACTGCCGAGAGTTCAGAAGGAAAAGTTATTCATGCAGCATTAATATTAGTTTCATGTGATATTCTGGCTGCCTAAAAGTTGTATAGGCATATTTCAGCATTAGTGTCATGTTATCGTTGTGAAAAAATACTAATTATGTAGGTAGACAATTTAACTTCGGTGGCGTACAAAATATAAATAAGTGGTTTGTACAGAAAGATTCAGTGGTATATCAGCAAAGTGCACTTGAGTAGAGACATTGTAATTCTGATGCAGAAAGAAAGCATTTTGTTAAAAGACATAAAATAAAGTTTGATGGTCTGAATTACTTTGTCTAAATTATTTTGATCTAATTCATTATATAATTGTTGACCCAATGCATTGCATTTTCCTGGGCATTTCTAAGTGGCTTGCTAAATAAATATGGACTGCTAAAGGTGTATTAACGTCGAATATACTTATGAAAATACAGTACATGATGAATAAGTTCCAAGTACCATCAGATATCAGAAGAATTCTGGGTAAAGTGAATTGTAAAGAGAGGTTCTCAAATTTTATCACCAATTAGTGATGAAATTTTTTTACGATTTATGCTACTTTTGTTCTTTGGAAACATTTTTCAAGTGAAGATCAGCAAATTTTAACAAATTTTGTTAAAATTTGCCAGATATTAGTATGCCAAATTATAAGGCAGGACCTTATGAATAAGGCTCATGAAAGGTTAATTAAGTTAATAAAATTAATAGAGAGTAAATACGGGGCTGGAAAAATTACACCAAATCTTCATCTTTCATTACATTTATATGAATGTGCACAGGATTATAGACTATTATACTCTTTTTGGTGTTTTTCATTTAAAGAATGAATGGAATTTTAGGGTCTTTGCCAAATAGTCATCGAAAAATAGAGTCTGAATTTATGCAAAAACTAATGACTAATAACCAAATTATCAGTTTGACTGCCTCTATACCTAAAATTAAGGGTGTAGAGTTACTGGAAAATCGATCTTCTGCTGGGTCTCTTTTAGAAACTGATAATTTTTCTTTTGATAAACTGCATCAATTTTTATTAAATATATATAATGTTCAAGAATCAAGTATTACTGGTTCTGAACAATTTCCTGGTGAGTTCTTACCATCACAAAAGAACATTTAATAATTTCAGATGAATTATTAAGTTTGCTAGTAGAATATTATATAGCAACTTATGTGACAATGAACTTTAGAAAACCTTTTACTAACGATTTTGAAGGTTCTGTCATTGTTCTAAATAGGGCAAACAAATATAGAAGATGCTGAATAGGTTCCGAAATATTTGGTTCTGACATGTCTTCTCACCATTTAAAAAGTTTATTTGTTTTGGCTCGGTTTGTGAATCATAACAGAAGTGTTGATTTGTACCCCAAACAAGTCTAGTATTTTTTTAATCATGTTATGAATCTACTAAACGGACTTGTAAAACATAAATTAGAATATGTTAGATAGTACAAATCTGTAAATTTAGCTGCAACTCATTTCTATTTTAGCGCTAATAAAACTTGTAATGTTGAACTTTGGAATCCTAAATTCTATCAAATTTAGTGTGAGTGCATTATTTCTGTTTATAATATTTTTAGTCGGTTTATACCATACAAGTATAAAATTTCAAATCGGCAAAATTCTCATGAATATTTGGCTGTAATTCCTATAAATAGAAAATTTAATATTTAAACCAATATCTAATTTGTATGTATGATGTAAAAAAAATTATTAAGTTTTAATGCATAATATTTGTTGCATGATTTACTTTTTATTATATATATAATGTATATTATTCTCATGTATAGAGTTTGGAACCAGATTTTATTTTTAAATCCAGTTTTATATTAATTAATTATTTTCTGCTTCACATTTAAATCTGAATTATTAAGTTGAAATCTGAATTTATTCCAACAATTACATTCAAAAAAACAATATCCAGTAAAAAAACATTCGACTACTTAAAGACAATTACATTCAAAAAAAATAATATTTTAAATTCGGGTTTACATTAATTAATTATTTTCTGCTTTACATTTAAATCTAAATTATTAAGTTAAAATCTGAATTTATTCCAACAATTATATTCAAAAAAATAATAATTAATTATTTTCTGCTTCGCATTTAAATCCAAATTATTAAGTTGAAATCTGAATTTATTTCAATAATTATATTCAAAAAAATAACATTTAGTGATAAAACATTCGACTACTTCATCAGAAAGTTTTGAAGGTATTATTATATGCCATTATATATATTATTTAACACTACTCATTAAATAATGCGAATACTCTATATTAAACAACACTATATATTTTATTACTTAATATTTACTATTAAATAACTTACAACGCTATATTAAACAACAGTAAGTATTCAATTATTTAACAATTGTGTTAAATAACAAGTAAATGCTGTATTAATATGCTGTTTTATATTAGTGTTTTTTAATAATTGCATGTAGCTTTATAGTAATTGTATTATAAATGAACTATAAATATTATTAAAACATATATA